GGTTTGCTCTTTTCCAGGTCTTCATTTTCCTGTCAAGACGCTCATGTGTATATAACAATATGGATGCTTTTCTCTTGTTATCAGGTAGAGACTCTTGCTAGACGCCCAAAAATTTTGACTGCCTTATACCCAAACTCTAGATCCTTCAATGATCCTACACACAAAATTTCAATAAATAGCAAATTAAAGAATTATTAAAAACATAAAAAGCTGTGAGTTTGGTAAGATATCTAAATACCAATACAGCCCAGTGCAGGTAAGTTGATATAATTAGCTACCACACAAGAAGTAGTAAAGTTAAAATATAAAGAGAAAATTTAAAAAGTCATTGAATATAAACCAGAAAAAAGTCCTCTTGATTGACTCTACAAAAATATTAATTAAAAATAATTATCTATTGCAAACAGCAATGACTTATATTAAGACATCACTTAAATAGAGATGTAGTTGGCTATGTAAAGTACTGTCTATAGAATTGTTATTAGTAGCACAGAATCAGGGAAAAAAACTATTAAAACCACTAAAAATTACTGGCACTTTCCTCCCTAAATGCTGAACATGAAGTTGAAAAGTTCAGGTGCCAAAAAGGGAAAAATAAACAGTGGTAGACCCAAGAATATTGTCAGTTGTAGACCCAAGAACAGTGTCTCCAGTGGGAGACCCATGAACAGTGTCTCCAGTGGGAGACCCAAGAGCAATGTTTTTAGCAGTACATCCAAAAACAGTGTGTTCCTTTTGAAACTGTAGACCTGTGTCACTTCCCAGACTCAGAACGCTGATGCAAATACAAATTTAAATATTCTTTGAAAACTAATCATTTAATACTCATAGATGAAAATTTAAAATACACTAAACTTTAAAAAGAGCTCTTATCTGTTTTACTGTATATAAAATTATCTGTTTTAATGTACATAAAATTTCCTCCTAAAATATTTGTATCAGAATTTGTCTTAACACCAGCCTAAAATTTAATTCCTTAAGACTTAGTTAAAATATAAAAATTAATTATTCCTTGTTACCTCAAAAAACATGTTCCCAGTGAAATATGCACTAGACGTTTATTAACATGATTTTCTTATATATACACTAATAAAAATTGTGCATTGTCTCAAAACAGCATTAGAAGTGTACACTACTGGGTGAATGTGAGACTTGCAGCCGGCGCTGTAGGCGCTAAGAATGAGCGGTGGTTGAGTGCTCAACCTCAACAAGACATTTATTCCTCCTCATCTGAGACTTCCACATACACTCTGGGTAGGTCACAGCCACTGCAATCATGAGCCCGAGAGCAACTAAGGTGGCCTCTATTGGGCTCCACAAGACTGGATCAAAGAAGGGCTCAGAGAGCCCCAGTCTTCCCTGCTAACTATTGGTCGCTGATGGGTTCTGCAAGAGGGGCAATTGTTCTCTTCAGCTGTGTACCCACAGGTGGGCTCACAAAGTCCCAATGGACAGTTCCAAATTTGTAGGCACAGATGGCTCTGGTTAAATTCAGTAGCTCACAAACAAAACAAAGACATTAATATAAGAAAGGAAGCTGTAGGGAGACATGAACATGTGAAAAGGGGCTGTAGTAAAGAGGGAGTGCCAACCGTAGTAGAAGTTGAAGTGTGAACATAATAAATATATGTTATATACAATTATAATATATACTGTATTAAATTATATATACATGATATGTATTAAATTGTCAAAGAGATACCGGAGAGATGCCTCAGTTAAGAACACTTGTTGCTCTTACAAAGGATCTAGGCTCAATTCCCAGAACCCATATGAGGGTTCACAACCTTCCCTAATTTCAGTGCCAAGGGACCAAAGACCCTAACTGACCTCCCTGAGCAACAGGCATGAAGTTGAACACATACATACATGCAGCAAAGAAACTCATACACATAAAATAAAAGTCTTTTTTAAAAGGCATGTGTACCAGCAAAGAATGAGCTTAGTAAAACTGTAACTTAAAAATGTACATCAGTGATTTCTGAAGTATAAATATGACTTTCTTAAATATATATTATAATTTTAATCACTAGCATCAATATATGTCTTTATGTGTGTGAGGGTGTTTATTACTTATTACTTTGAAAACAAATTGGAACAATGGATGTCACACAAGTACTGCATAGTAAGTTGTTTAAGAAGGACCTAGTTTGAAGTCTTCTTTGTTTGTTTTCTGAAGGGCAACATAATGTCAGCCCAGCATCTCTAATGTCACAGACCAAGTCTCTTAGCCACACCTGTTCAACCTTAAGGCAACAGAGAACAAAACAGTGCTTATATAATGTAAAATGTGATACAGGTCATTTGAGTCGGCCAGTCTGGACTGCTGAGTTAAATACCAAGATAAACACAGTTTTGCTTTTAACAAGGAGTAATACAAGAAAGAAACTGGATACATGCACTCACTATATGATCCACTTATGTCTACTATATAAACAGGTAAGATTGAGTCAGTGTCAGAGGTCAGGACAGAGATCATCATCAGAGAGAGGGTTGCTGTATGGTGATAACAATCTATTTCTCAATATGAGCAGTAGTTAGACGGACCTGTGTATCTAGTAGGAACCCACCAGGATGCACATGCCTGTCCTATATTTCTGTGTCACACACACACACACACACACACACACAGAGGGGGAGGGGGATAATATAAGGAGACATTAGATCTCGTTGATTCCAACCAAAGAGTTTATTCCCAAAGAAACTAACCCAGGACTTACTGGTTCAAAGCAAGCAAGAGGACCAGACAAAAATCTACATGTTTAGCCTTGAGATTCTTGGTCTCTTCCCCACCCTCTCAATCTTGGCATGCGTCATTAAGAAGCCAAAGGAAGCCTCTCACATAGAACTCACATATCCTGAGAAAAAGATATACTCATTGTCTTTGCTAGTAACAGGCAAAAAGGCAAATACCTATACCAGCTCCAGAAGAGGAGCAGTATTCAAGTAATAGGTATTTGGAAGAGTGCTAAGTTCTGTCAGGAAGACTACATGAGCTAAGGAAGAAAAAAAAGAATACAAATGAAAAGGAGAAGCCACTAGTAAAACCAGCATCAGAAATGTTATCACAGGTGGGAGCAACAGTTCCATGTTAACATGGTAACAGTGAATGCCAACTGGATCATTCAAGAAAATGAGGAAAGAGCTGTGCATGCAGCATGAGGTAGGAAGGATGTGAGACAACAGAAGAACCAAGGCCTCACTTTCTTAAGGTAGCAAATCAGGACCGAATGTCCAGCATGGCCGTATGTGCATAGTATTAGAGAAAACAATAGATCCAAATGGCACAAAAGTTGCTCAGTCAAAAGTAAAACATAGGTGGAGCAGTATACTGGAAATTTAGAGAACTATTTGTTATAAACCTTTAGCAGAATTTTAAAATTCTATATACAGCATTATTTTAATAAGGAGTAAGTATACACTTTTTAAAGTACAAAAAAAGTTTTTATACATTTCATTTTGTTTTCTACAACAAACAGGCTCACTGTAGTGGAATTCTGCACAGAATTCCAATGCCCAGGAGCTGATAGGGCAGGTACAGGGCAGTGAGGGAAGTGTGTACTCAGGAAAGCTGGAGAGAGGAATGAAAGGGGTGAGTTCAAAAAACACATGATTGGAAAGGGTGGTACCAGGTGCCTCTGAGAGAAACAACAGTCAAGGAGGAACCCAGATCCCACTTAACTGAGGGCCATCTGGATATGCGATCATTTCACAGATGCTGCCTGTTTTGTGAATGTTCTGTAAGTGACAAGAAACTCATCTTATGTACGCTTCAATTTTGGATTACTATGGAACACTTCAGTAGAATGGAGAAAATAATATCATCCGGGGATTTAGAATTGCATTTATCAAATGCTAACATTTTTGCCATATTTCCTTAAGGAAGAAAACATCACATATTGACTGAAAACCCCTTGAGTCATTCTCTGGTCCCAGAACCTAATTTCCTCCTCGGATCATTACTAACTGGAATTTGCCCGGCTATCCCATAGTCCTCACCCCCTCAAATGGGCTTAGTTAAAATGAATCCAGTGCCCCTTTCTATTCTAAGATACCAGTTGTCAAACTTAAGTGTGGTATTAAAGAACATTCACAACAGTTGAAAGAACAACTAAAGCACTCTCTTAGGGATTGGGCGTAGGGTGTGATGAGGCAGAGAGGAGAAAAATTAGAACAAAGTATGGTGACACAAAGGCCCGCAGAAATGGCGCAATCTAGCCTATTTGTGCACTATTTTAAAATGTTAATTTTTAAAGGATACTATCTTATTTTGCAATTAAATATACAAATTTTACAATAAAATTGGTTTGATTTTTCATATCAACCAAGTAAGAAGATATGAACCCCACTGCTCCTTGCGCATAGCTACATCCTCTTCCAGTGCAGTCTCTACATGCACACTAGTGAGGTGGTTCATTCCCACAGAATCAAGGTTGGTCACTACTCCAGAAGGGGACAGCAAAGAATATGCAAACTCTCAGACTTGCTTTATAGATGCTTCTAGTAGTAATGGGGTAGAATATCCTGCCTTCACACACTACTCAACCCAACATACTGATATCCAGATGCCACAGTGTTTTGGATTTAAACCTTGGTTCTTATATTTCTAAGATAATTCTTTTCATGAAAAAAAAAACTGATCCATAAATTTCAAAACAAAAAAAAATGTATTCTTAACAGACTCTTGAAGTTAGAAGAAGCACACGAAGGACTATGAATTTTTCACAGCCTATTTGCAGACAGTCTGGAGAATGGAGTCTGTTTAAAAAGCACTGCTCTTTTGTAAATCTACCCAGTGAATAAGTACAAGTCAAAATTTTAAAGGCAGGAAACCTTAGCGAAAATTTCAGAGTGATAATCGATAATTATCCTCACTGTATAAGAAAGTCAGGAGAAAATAGACTTGTAAGAAGGTCAAGAGAGAACTCCCAGCTAGGCTGGTCATGTACTGGACTGGTCCCCAGCTCTTCTGAAGGACTGCAGCACTTGAACAGGCTCACCTTTGCAGTTCACCAAGTCCTCTGGCAGCTGGGAGGGTGGGGCTTTGCCTTAGGAAGTTTTGTTTTAAATTGAGATGAGTAAGGTCTTGGCTGTAGAAGAGGTTGGCAGGCAGATGTTCAAGGCTACAACACGAGAGGTCTACTGAGCTTATGCGCTGGGATGCAACCTAGAGAAAAAAAATAATAAATTTAATTCATTTTTCCTGTGACTACTGTCTATAGATAGAATTATGATGTACCCTTTAGAGAACCCAGGAATCAAGAAAGCAGCATTTCTTGTCCACAGTCAGAGGAAGCAGCCAAAAGCAGAAGAGTTTCTCAGCACATGCTAACACAGGGAAGCAATGCCTGAGTTCAGGCCACAAAGAAGTGGAGACACCAGCAGATGTTACGGAGTATTTTAGACCACTGTAGGAACTCTGGCTTTTAATGTGACCAAAATAGAATACTTCAAACAGTTTTGAAAAGTGTGACATGCTCACCAACATACTTACATACCTTCCTGGAGTCCTATGTCTCCAGGCTGTATGCCAGTAAAGGCAAGGACTGCTTTATGTTGTTCACTGAAGAAACTACACTGACAATTCTCTATGACCCTTGGGATGCTGTGCAGAAAAGAGGGTCAATGGCCCCCTCACAACTCCTTCCTTCTGCCACCTTCACCTTCACTAGTTTGCTCTGGCCAATCTAGTACACTGGTCCCTTGGAGTTCAGAAGGAAGCAGAAATCTAACATTGATCCTTTGGACAGAGAGAAGATGATTAAACATCAACTTGTTCTTGCTCCATTCCTCATTCTGGACTACAAGCTGTTCCTGCTGGAATCAGGAGGAAGTAGGCACATTAACAGGATAAAAATCAGACAGCATGGTCTCATGGGAACTACAGTGTAAACAGGAACATCTATAGTAAGAACATGAATCCAATGGATAACAGCCATAGGGCATTGAGCAGCCAAGGAGACCACAAAGGCAACCACAAACTTCTTCTTTAACCAGACCCACATCCTGGAACCAAAACAAAAGAAGTCAATACATCAGCTCAGACCAACCAAGCTACATCTCATCCAAAAGAGAAGAGTGCTCTTACTAGAAGGTCTGCCTGATACCCAAACAAGAAAAGCTGGACATCCAAAGAAGCTGTGGTCTACCTACACAGCTGCTACTAAACTCAGATCCTTCCCCAACTACAGACGCAGAAATTATTAATAAGGAAGCCACCTGGGTACACCTCAGAGCAAGCAGCCTCTGTTATCCAGCATCCTTTCCTGGGAGTTGTTACTTATTGTTACAGAAAGAAGTGCTGCCCTTATGACAGTTACTCCTCTGAGAGCTGAAGATACAATATTGAATTTAATCTTCAAAAAAATATAAAGAAGACTCAACCCCTATCTTAAAGTTCAAGGTTTAACTGGGTGAAATGAAGCTCCAGGGCACAGCTATACTGGCCTAGGGTGTGAACTAGAGAATGCACTATTAACCTCCTCCATCATGGCAGGGCAAGGAGCACTGTTCAGAAATCCCCAGGAAACCAGAGACGGGGGAGGAGCATTTTTTAACACCCAAGAAAATAGTAGAATGACTAGAACACTGGAAAGCCATCCCTAGGAAGAACTTCAGCTTAGTTTTGAAAGAGAAGCAGTGACAGGCCATGCATGCTCCTCCAGAGAAGCAGAAGAGAGCACCTGTGGAAAACACAGACCACAGGAGGGGAGAAGCCCATCAGGACCATCATTTCATTCCTTGACATCTCAGCTCTGTCCATCTCAACACCAAACACTTGTGCACTAAGCAATAGTGATTCCCCAGATAACCAAGGAACTGCGAATCAAACCTTAAAATGTCTGTAGAAAAAGTACAAAAAAGTTATAAAAATCTGGAAAATTAGCCTAGGTGGAAAATGCCTAAAATCCTAATTATGGAGGGAATGTGAAATGTGAAATGTCCTCTGACAGAAGCCACAGCACTTCTACTACACTGGCAAAACAAGTCACAAAACTGGGGCTCAAGATCAATGTGTGCAAGATGCCCTGTTTTCTAGTTCTGTGGCTTTACAGTCACTTCATCTATCTGTCCACCGGTTTCCTCATGGATAACGCCAATCAGTTAACACGTACCTGGTCAACACCAATAACACCCTTCTCATTTTTAAAACTCAAGAGAGACGAAGTAGGACCTATGACTATCCCTAGTCCATAACCCAATCACTTCAGGTAGCCACACAAATAATTTGACTTGGAAAATTCTGTATGTGAACAGATTCAAAGTGTATTTCAGTTTAAGAAAACTATGGTTTAGAATATTATTTCACATCTATACTGACAAAAAAATAAAACAAAATAAAACAAAACACCAGGAATGGAGAGATGGTTCAGTGGTTAAGAGCCTTTACTGTTCCTTCAGAGGACCCAAGTTCAGATCCTGTGCCCATATATGGCAACTCACAGCTACCTATAACTTTAGCTCTAGAGAATCCTTTATGTCTGGCATCTGCATAACACAGACACAGACATAAATACATACAACAAATAAACAAAAATATAAATTAAATAAATAAAGGCTGATTAGGTTCAGATCGAACAAACCCTACAACATATATTAATAGAAATATGAATTTTAGCCACTTATTTGGATTGTCGTCTTTTTCAAATGTCTTGTAAACATTTGTGATGAAAAAACCATATTTAGTCCTCAACATACTCTCTCCTAACCATTATAGAGCCGAAAAAGTAAGACCAATAAAAATTTTACTTTATTTAACAGACATTTATACATTTTCTAACATGCTGTTCTGCTTGACATACTCTTAAATTGTGTCTTTCTTTCTCTACCTTAGGACTCTGAGCAGGAAATCTTTCTGCTGAGCCTAGCTGAGTTGAATTTCTGAACCAGAATATCTGTCCCAGCCTTAACCAGTATCTGCTATGCTTTCCAACTATCATCACCTTCCAGTGACAGGACTGTTAACTCCCATCATGCTGAGGGCTGCTCAGTGGATAATCATCTTCCCCAGCCAAAGCAAGTTCACAGCAACATTCATGTGACATTTGATACCTACCCTCTGTACTTTAGGGGAAGTCACATCTAGTCTTTTTATGTGCATAGTATGCTCAAATTTAAGTAGACCGACTGAAAGGCTTGGCCAAAGCAGCAGAAGCAGCACAAAGAATCCTGCATCTAGACTAAAAGAGTGCTGTGATATGGCATGAGGCATTAACAGCTCCGGCCTAACCTCTAGTGGTTTAGGGAGTAATGTCCCTGACTAAAAGGGCAGTCTGTGGAGAGTTCACTACATTTTGGTAATGATTCTTAACTTCAACTGATCTATCCCCACCCACCAAGGCTTTGGGAGGTATAAGCAGAATATAATTTATTAATCTTTATCAGACATTCTAACACCTTTACATGCATCCACTTCATTCTCAATAGTACGGTTTCTGTGAATTCCCACTGCTTCCCGACATGTAATCATTTCTTTCCTCAAATTGAACAGAATGTATTGGCCCCAGACCTTTTCACAGTGACTATGAATTTGTTGATGCTAATTATCATTTTGTAAATTTTGGTTAACAGTAGATACTAAAAAACCTATAAAATTAGTTACAGGTCTTTTGTGTGCATGTTCTGTTTTTTTTGTTTTGAGACATTCTCACTGTGTCTTCATAAGAGTACGTCAAGCTATAAATTTTGGAAGTAGCAAATTATACCTAGAATTTTAACACTTAACATGCCTTTTCTTTAAAAGGTTAAATTGGGATCATACATGACAAATAAAGCATGTAAATTTACCCTCCATTCTAAATTATTAGAAGCAATCAACTGTAAAATTAACGAAGGCAATAGAAAAAAAAACAGAGACACAGACAAACAACAGACAAAAATTAGAAAGATCTATTGGAGCAAGAACACAGAAAGGGTGGAGGAACCATGACTTTAGAAGGAGGGGTCTACAGTCTGGAGAAGAAACAAATTATCTAGGTAACTGTTCAAGCACCAAGTTATAGCAGGCTAGGAAAAGAGACACAGTTGGAAAGCTCCTGCCTATGGATGATAAAGGGGCTAGCCTGAGAGAGTAGTGTACGTATAACATCTGCCCTTTGTAAACCCAGCACTGAACTACTTGGTACTCGGTAGTATTTAGCCTTGTGAGGACACAGTGAGAGCACATGAGACCTGAGAATGCCATGCCACTAAGATCAGCTACCGACAGGGCCTCCCCTCCACTGACAAAGTGGCTATGCAGTGAGTAGCAATGCTGCTGCAGCTTGTCCAGGGAGCTCGCTGTGCAGTCTAACTTGACCATGTGAACCTCTGCCTCACACTTCATGAGTCAGAAGCTTCTGAACAGGGTCAAGCATATAGTTATTGCCCCGCCCCTAGTCTCTGCACATAAACCTCAATGTGCTCTCAATAGCAATAAAAGGCAGACCCTCGGACCAAATCTGAGTCTTCTTATTGGCAAAATACAAGCAAACAATGTTGTGAAAATGTTAATACCTGAGTACACATTCCCCCAAAGACAGCACCTTCTAGACATGAGGGAACAAACCACTAAAGAGACAAATAAACAAACCTCATATACCAACTTGTTTGTTTATTTGTTTTTGAGACAGGGTTTCTCTGTGTAACAGTACTGGACTCTGCGCTCTGCAGACCAGATTGGCCATAGACTTACAGAGATCTGTCTGTCTCTGCCTCCCAGAGGAGTGCTGAGATTAAAAGGCACCCCGGCTCTAACTTCTGATTTATATAACTATACAAACTTTCTCAAACAGTTCAGATATTGCAAATAAACGACTTGTTTTATAATTAGAAAACCTAAAACCATAAATGAAAAGATTTAAGTTCCAGGTTCTATATGCAAGGTCTATGTGTTGACTATACAGTTCACAGATTCTTTTCTAATCATTCCATTATTTATTTCCTAAAATTATTAACTAGACATAAAGAGAATCTAGCCCTTCATAGTAATTGGAATGCAATGCTTTAGGATAAAGACAATGGGACTCCTCAAATAAACAAGCATAAAGTAAAAGATAAATTTTTAAGAATAAATATATATTAAGTTGGCCTAAACTCACAAATTAAAATGATTCAACTTCAAGAACTAATTTGACTAAGGCTAGGCTTGAAGCTATAGGCCTTTAATTCCAGCACTTAGAAGGCAGA